CAAAGCCCAAACCACACCCACTGCCCTGGAGTCCATTCTGACTCACAGCGCCCCTAGAGGACAGAGTGGAACTGCCCCACAGGATTTTCATGGCTGTACATCTTTATGGTACAGATTACAAGGTCTTTCTCCCATTGAGCCACTGGGAGTGGTTTCAAACCACTGACCTTTCAGTTAGTAGCTGAGGACTTAACCCTTGTTCCACCATAGCTCCTGGCAGAAATCAAAACCAAACCCACTGCCATCAAGTTGATTTGACTCACCATGAGCCCATGTGACGGAGTACAGCTGCCCCCTGGGGTCTCCTAGGCTGTACTCTTTCTGTGAACAGATCACCAGGTCTTTCTCCTGTGGATCGACTGGTTGGTTTGAACCATTGACCTTTGGGTTAGTAGCCAGACACTTACCCACTGTGCTACCAGGGCGCCTCCTTCTCAGGTGGTGGTTCTTAAATTTTGATCAGCCCCCGAATCAGCAGTTGTTGTCGTTGGGTGCCGTCGGTGTGATTCTAGCTTCTCCTGACCTCCTGTGACTGGACAGAATGCCCAGTAGGGTTTCCTGGGCTGTCATCTTCACAGACACTGATCAACAGGTCTTTCTCCCACAGGGCCACTGGGTGGGTTTGAACTGCCAACCTTTGGATTGGCAGCTGAGTGTTTAACCACTGTGCTACCACACTCCTTTCTCTGAGGCTGCTCCTTTGTAATTTGATGTCAGAGACTCTCACCTCCTCAGTCACATTGTCAGCTGGGACCAGCGATGCCTGACTCTAGAACACGACGCCAGCATTGTTGGCAAGGAGTTCTGTTAGTTGTGGAGTGGGAAGGCTGTTAATAGTGGGCAGAGCTTGTTGTGTATGTTCTTATCGAAGGCCAGAGTCATGATGCTGTTTTTATTAGGGAAAAGGAAAAATAAATATTCTTGAGAGAAATCGAGAACATGAATGGTGTGGGGGGCCTCTGAAGAGGTGTATTTCATGAGTGTCAAAGGAAGGCAGAGACTGTTCTCAGGAGGAGAGAGAACTGGACCCGCCTCCCACACACTGGGTCCTGTTCACCTGTGAGGAAGCAGGCCCCTTCTGGTCTCCTCAGGAGGGTTGGAGGACAAACGTGAAGCCACTCAGTAGCAATAAATCTGATTTTCAAGGCTCTGGTCACTTTATAAAGAGCTCTGGTGTGGCGCAGTGCCTAAGGCACTTGACTGTTAACCAGAGGATTGGCGGTTCAGACCCACCAGCCACTCCTCAGAAGGAAGGTTGGACAATCTGCTTCCGTAGTGATACTGCCTCGGAAACCCAAGGAGGGGTTGCTGTGAGTCGGATCCTGCTCAACGGCAGTGAGTTAGTTTGGTTTTGGTCACTTTATAGAGAGCTCTGGTGGCGCAGTGCCTAAGACATTTCACTGCTGAGAGGGTCGGTGGTTCAAACTCAGCAGCCACTCTGTAGAAGGAATACAGGGCAATCTACTTCCGTAAAGATTTCCCCCCTCGGAAACCCAGTGGGGGTCACTGTGAGTCGGAATTGACGTGATGGCAGTGGGTTTGGTTTTGGTTTTTGGTCATTTTATAGCTCCGTAATCCAAGCGCTTTTGGATTTGATTCACTTTTGAATCGAATGGTGTAGTCAGAGAGATGGGCAGCCTTTTGTTTGTAGTTCTTGGTCATGTCCGTGGTGCATCCTCACTGGGGGAAAACTTGGTCTTCATAAGTGACAAAGTGACTACTCTCCACACAGGGTCCTCTCCCTTCCAGCTAAGTTCCCTGAGTCAGAAGCTTAATGTCGCCCCTAACTGCCCCCACATACTCATCCTCGCATTTCCAGTAATGGCCGAACATGACAGACACTGTGTCCACATACTCACGTTCATTGTTATCAGGTACCGCCGAGTTGATTCCGACTCATAGTGACCCTGTATGACAGACTGGAAGTGCCCGAGGCAGTTTTCTAGGCTATAAGCTTTACAAGGAGGAGCCCTGGTAATGCAATGGTTAAGTGCTAAATTGCTAACCAAAGGTGGACGGATCAAACCCACCCAGCAGCTCCACAGGAGGAAGACCCAGAGATCCACTTCTGTAAAGGTTACAAAAAAAAACCCTCACTGCCCTCGAGTCGGATCTGACTCATAGCGACCCCTCCTTGGTTTCTGAGGCAGTGTCACTATGGAAGTAGATTGCCCACCCTTCCTTCCCAGGAGTGGCTGGTGGGTTTGAACTGCCAGCTTTCTGGTTAGCAGTCAAGTGCCTTAGGCACTACAACACCAGAGCCTGGGAAATCCTCTGGGCAGTTCTCTTCTGTCCTATGGGGTTGTTATGAGATGGGATTGGCTCAGTGGCACCTGACAACACCACCACCCTTTACGGGAGCAGATCGCCAGGGCTTCTCCTGCAGAGCCACTGGTTGAGTTCAAACCACCGAGCTTTCAGCTAGCAGTTGAGCACTTAATCACTGCACAACCAGGGCACCTCAACTGCGCATAGCTGTTGGTGTTAGGTGCCATCGAGTCGGCTCTGACTTACGGCGACCCCGTGTACGACTGAAGGAAACGCTGCCGGTCCCGCGCCAGCCTCACACTCCTTCCTGTACCTGAGCCCCTCGGCGCAGCCGCTGTGTCAGTCCACTCCTTGAGGGTCTTCCTCTGTTTATGCTGGTCCTCTGCTTTACCAAGCTTGGTGTCCTTTAAGGGATGGTCCCTTCTGACAACATGACCAGAGTACATAAGACGAACCTGGGCCATTCTCGCTTTTAAGGAATATTCTGGCTGCACTCCTTACACAGTGGATTTGTTCGTTCTTCTGGCATCCGTGGTGTTTTCAGTGCCCTTCACCAGTGCTGCGGTTCAAACGCATTAATTCTCCTCTGGTCTTCCTTATTCATTGGCCAGCTCTCACACACATACACGACTGTTAAAAATACCATGGCTTGGGTCAGGCACGCCTCGATCTTCAGAGTGCCTTCTTTGCTCTTCAGCCTTTGAAGAGGTCTTTTGCGGAAGATTTGCCCAGTGCAGCAACCTTTGATTTCCTGACTGCTGCTCAACGGCTGCTGTTTGGGGATCCAAGTCACATGAAATCCCTGACAGCGTCACCCTTTTCTCCATTTATCGTGATGTGGCTTATTGGTCCAGTTGTGAGGATTTTCGTTTTCTTGACGCTCAGGTGTAATCCATACTGCGTAATCCAAACTGCAGACTGTAGTCTTGAATCTTCATCAGTAAGTGCTTCAAGTCATCCTCACTCTGGCAGACAAGGTTGTGTTGTCCGCATTTCGCAGGTTGATGATAGTTCTTCCTCCAGTCCTGATGCCATGTTCTTACAGTCCAGCGTATAGTGTGTGGAATGAAGCTGGCTGACACCTTCTGTAATATGCTAAGTGCATGATTTTATGTGTATTCATCAGCCAGCTGACAATGGCTGAGTGTGAGGACTCTTTCCACACAGGCTTCATGGGAACGGTGCAGGCCTTCCCGGCACCATGGTAAGATCCCGTGAAGCTTGCTTCTTCCTGTCCTTGTTAGACTGGGTTCTCTAGAGAAACAAAACCAGTAAAGCTTATAGAGACAGAGAGAAAGGGAAATTTATCTTAGGAAAATGGCTCACACACTTAGAGAAGCTGGCACGTCCCAAGTTCTTGCATCAAATGTCAACCT